CTTTTCTCGGACATTGATAGAAGGAGAGAGGGCAGCGGCCTTGGCTACTTTTCTCAGGCATTACTAGACCCCAGAACGTCTCTCCCCCTTCCCAGCGCCTTCTTGGCTACCCTTCAGGATGTGGAAGGGTTTCCTTTCTGTGGTTGCATAGCGCAAATTTTAGGTCGGTGCCTGCACGTGCGCCGGCATGTTTTTTTTTTGGTTTCTGATGGTGCGTGATGATTCTAGTGCGGAAATGAGCTACACGTCGCTCTAGGCTAGTAATAATTACGTGCTTCATTACTAACCCTATTCTTGAAGTGGATGTACAGGTTGAGCAGCGTCATGTGGAGGAGCTACTTGAGGTGAGATCTGCGGCAGTTTTGGCGGATGGATTTTCATATTCATAGAGAGTGTGATACTATGAGTATGAGCGTGGGCAGTTTCGGTGAGGTTAGTCCCGCATTTCTTTATCAACACGAGAGTATCGTATTGAGAGCAGGGTAGTTGAAAATTACTCGTCCTCATTCTATCAGGTGAAACATCTTCAGGTTCGTTTTCGTAGATGGAAAAACAATATTCATCATGGTATGGAAAGGGGGTTACCCTCAAGAAGGTTTTATTAGGACAAGAAGTTTATTTGGAATTAAGTACTTCTCGTTGTCACTACACTTGATGACTCCTCCTGCTGCAACATGATCAATAGAAGTGGTGAAAGTCGAACATGTGGATGTGGTGGTTGTGAGAGCCAAATCTAACAAATCTCCACATCGTCCAGTCGCCTACTTCTTGTCTTGACAACCGCAACATCATGCCCACAACATTATGCTAGCATCAAGGTCAAATCCCTCTTGATCTTCTCTAATGCTTCAAATTCGTGCTGTAGATCGCGATTCCTATTCTTTTCTTGGTCCACCAAGGACTGCAGATCTGCTTTTCGCCTCGTCAGCAGTTTTTCCTCGTCCTTGCCTAGCTTCGCGTACACTCCGCAATGACGTCTGGCTTCTAAGCGTTGTTCCGCTAAGACTGGGACTTTCTTCATTGCTTGGCCAAAATGTGCAAATTCCTCACCCCAATTCTTGCCCACACGTTTTTCCAATTTCGCTGCTCGTGCACTGTCGGCTTTCATCTTGTCCCTCAAGCGTTCGAACAACAACTGCATGCCAGCGAGAGTCTCCGCGCCGCTCAAGAACTCCTTCTCAGACCATTCGGCCTCGCCACTCGCGGCCACGTCCGGCAATAAGTTCTCCTCAAAAAACGGAGCCAGGCTCTGTTCTGGATACCCAGGTGCACCTGCACCAGAACTACTAGGATCTTCTTGCTCCGCGTATGTTAAATGTTCTTGACGCAACAATTCTCGTTCTACGTCTAGTTCGCGTCGTTTCATCAGAAGTTCTTCAGCTGTGATGTCAGGGACCAGGTCCTCCGGTCGTTCTTCGTCCCCCGTCAGTGGTACACTACCATAATCATGCGCATCTCGTAAGATCTGGCTCTGCATCTCCCGGAGAATCGCACGTTCCGCTTTGTGTCTGTGCAGTGCGAAATTCAACTCCTTGTCGGTTTCTTCAGGGACACGGACTGACTCGTCATCGAAGTCAGTTATTGGGAACAGTGGAGCTCTTTGAGAATCTAGTAAGCGGAGTTGTTCTGGTCTACAGGGGACTGGCAAAACCATTTTGATCAGATGAGTCGCCCCAGCACGACCGCCGGTTGCAGCAGTAGTACTACCGAAATCTCCTTTCGTCACGACGTTCCCGGTCGTTACTCCAGAAAACAGAGCAGCATAGCCGCCGTTCTCCTCCACAGCATAGTTACGTTGGACCACCAGAGAGGCGAGTTTGCGTCGTTCGCGTTCAGCTTCTTCAGCCTCACGCTGAAGACGTTCAGCGCGAGCGTCAGCATCTTCAGCTTCCTCCTCTTCCTGATCTTGCTGGATCGTCTCCTCCAAGTTCGCTGGCATGGTGATCTGGAGCAGTTGAGAAGGTGGGAGATAGGTCGTATACAGATGGGGATAGGAACTACCGAGGAAAGGTAGGACAAAGAGATTTGATGTTTCACTTTGTTGGGAAGCTAGTACTCCGCACCTACAAGAACAGTGGAGCTCTTTGAGAATCTAGTAAGCGGAGTTGTTCTGGTCTACAGGGGACACGTGTTGCAATGAATCAATCACATTAATATGTCTCCAGAAAAAAACAATACCTCCATTGTCGACCCTGCCTTTGGAAGTGCTGCAAAAGCGTTTCGGACCTGCGATTTGAGCAAATCTTTTGCTTCCAGAGGGTCCATTTCTGAGGCTAAACCGAGTCCATCTCTCGGCGTCATCATCGACGACATCGGTGTTCGGCCTCCCATACTCTGCGATGTCATGCCGCCAGGTGTGCGACCTCCCGCCATGCTCATGCCACTTGGAGTCATATTTCCCGGTGTCATACCTCCGGGAGTCATCCCACCAGGCGTCATCCCACTCGGAGTCATTCCTCCAGGCGTCATGCCACTCGGAGTGTTCATGCCACTTGAGGAGCTGCTTCCTCCCGCCTGACCGCGCATCCTCGGTGGCAAAACTCCGGTGAAGTCGGTCGGATGTAGTTCTGGATTTTCCTCACCCATCAAAGGTGTTTGCATTTCATTCCTCCGAACCGCATTTTGCGCCTCTTTCAAAATCACGTCTTGATCCACGAAAGCTGGCGTTCCAGGTGTACGGCCAGCAAAGTCGGATGGCAACGGCGTATCATAGCTCTGGATCAAACCTCCGGCTGCACCCTGCAACTTCGCATTCTGCTCGCCCATTTTGGCCAATTGCTGCAACTCCCAATCCTCCAAAACCGGTGTGGGCAAGGAGAGCTCGCTTCTTTTCCTCGTGCTGGCTGGATCGTTCATCTTATTCACGATCTCCATGTGCTCAGCCAAGTTGTCTTTTTTGAGACGCTTTAATTGACGTTCATCTTCTTTCCGCTTATGCTGCTCTTCGCGGTCTCTTCGCTCCTGCTCAATTTTCGTTAAGGCAACTTTCGAAGTTCCAATATTTGAGATCGGATTTTCCTCGGGACCGGTTTCGTGAAAGCCTTTAGGGATTTCCTGTGGTCGTGATAGGAGGGGAGGTATGAAGATTCGGTCGTGCCTAGAACTTATAGTTTAGTTTGGGACAGCAGTAGAAAAATTCAAGAGAGCACAAGAACAAGTGCTCTTCATCTCCTTCAACAAGTACAAGTAGTACCTGCAAAAACGGAATCTCCGTTGCATAATCCATCCTCTTTCTCTTCCTTCTCCCAACCTCTTTGTCCTTCAAAACCCCTGCTGCCTTCAATTCACGCGATTTTTGAAGCTGTGCTAATCGTCTTGCTTCTGCAAGTTGGGCTTCACGTGCTTTTCGCTTGGCTTTTTTACCTCTAGTGTTGGCCAGACGGGCTCTGGCTTCTGTGAGCATTTCTTTCTCATCTTCGTCCATATCCTGCGCATCCGCACGAGCTGGCTTCGTGTGCGGATGAGGATCGACCTGTAGTAGTTAGTTGGATGTGGAGGGACATAAGGCAAGCGATGTGTTCGTCTTGGACGACATTGAGGACATAAAAAGATAGCATCATCTTAAATCCATCATACTAGGTAGTAAGTACGTACTTCTTCATCATGAGAAGTATGATTGGAGGTAGGTTTTTTGGTGTTCCTTTATCCCGCTTGTTATGGCTGTCCCCCTTAGGAGAGCCATAACAAACGGTAACAAATGCACCTTTAACCTACCCTGAATATGAGTATCCGACAGTATCCAACCAAATTCAAATCTAAACTCCAAATCTTACCTCTCCCGGTCGCAATTTTCTCGGATCATCTTCTCCGACTTCGCGATTTTGAGCGATATCCAACAGTCGCTCATACCGTTCTAGGCACTGGTTGGCTGTGCGTCCGACGACTGGTGCAATCGTACGCCATTGGCAAGGAAAGCACTTGGCCAAGTGTAGCAGTTTTTCATCCTCATCTTTGGTCCACTCTGTTTTCTTCACAGAAGGATCAAGCCACTCGTACCACCTGTTTGGATTTTTGATGTTTGAGTCCTTTCTTGAGATGACCTTTCACCTTCAAGATCATGATGTTGAAGTGAGAAAAGTATAAGGAGTTGACTGATCAGAAGGAGGGAATGGAAATGCAACCTCAAAAAGTGCGCATGAAATTGGGTAATTGCAAGAGACCACGCATCAACAATAAAAAATGTAATCCTCCTAATACCTCGCTTTGCATTGTTTCGCTGTCTTTCGCACCAAGAGAGAAGAAACACGACTCCAATTGTTGAGTCCGTATTTCATAACAGCAGCCTTGAGGACCTCATCCTCGCTGTTTTTCCAGATACCACCCTTAATCTGGATACGCACCATTTTTTCGGTACGCTAAGGCAAGAGAGGAAATAAAAGAAAATCAAAATTGCTAGTAAAAAGTACTGAAGACAAGTCAATGAATTGAAAGTAGAAAGTCCCCGGGAAAAACTACTTGTCGCCACAAATCAATGATGAAACCTTCAGAAGATAACTACATTCATAATTTTCTTTGAAAGGTTAAAGCTTGTCCCGGCACCACTTCCGCTGTATCAGAGAAAGGTAGATACGCTGATGAAGGCAGGTGAAGCGGGAGTAGATGAACATTGTGGTCAGCGAGGTCGTAACGGTATCCACTTTAATGGAGAATTTTGTTTGTTTGTATTTTCAGATTCTGGATGTTGATCATCTCGTTCACTTTGTAGTGATACTAGAGTAGAAAAATCCCAGGTAGAATCGAGGATCATCTTCAGATCCATATCCCACAGAAAGATCTCCTCATCAAGTGAATTCTGGTGATAATCATTCATTTTGCGTGGGAACATAAGATAGAAGAGCCAAACCCAAATTCCGCACTTTGACGAGAGAAGAACACTTTGCATTTCAACAAGGCACGCTGCTGTCCTGCAAGTCGAGAGGCGCACGAGAAATGCGCCATCAATCTGAAGCTTTAATAGATTACGGAGAGACCACTCCCGAGGAAGTAGAATAACTCCACTAGTACCCTGCGTCGACTTCTCCGAACGATGATTTCTAAAAAAGTTAGAAGAAATATTTTTAGTTATTAATATCATGTTAGTTCGTGCAATCAGTGGAGATAAAAAATGGTAACGAGTTGCATCTCCACTTATTGATCGTTTTTGCGTCTCCTAAATTTCCTCCCCGTCGTCTGTGTGTGTCATTCTTTATGTTTCGATCTACTTGTTCATGGGTTCATCTTGTTCTGCAAATGTTTCCTTTCATAATTTCACCCCTATTAAACAAGGAATCATTCATAATCATAGCTTTTAGTTCTAGTACTAGATTTAAGTCGAGCTAAACGAGCTCCAATTTCTTGGAGTAGACACGTTCTACCTTGAATACGTACCTCATCTAACTACACCCCTCGAGAGCACGGATTTTTTCACCACCTTATCAGAAGTACAGAGTCGTCGAAGTATTTGAAATGTTGGGTATAATCCTAAGTACACAGCTGGTATGAACTTCTTACTTACCACCTGCAAAGGATTTTGTTCGTCTTGTACGTATTTGTAGGCTAGGATTCGTAAAAATATAATTGTTTTTGAAGTTATCATCTTCTTGTCCAAGAGATGTTGAATTCTTGTTGTTCTATAGATATGTAATAAGCTGTATGAGTTGATGAAGAATTAAGAAAGATTTGCGCTGGCGGTAAATTACATCAGAAATTAAGTTCAAAACAATCAGAGAAAAGAATTTATCTGCGTAGCTAAAAACTACACAACAATAAATTTACTGAAAACACGACTACTGCTGCTAGTTGTATCCTTGTTCGTGTCTCCACCCCTATGATCTCTATCAGTCGTGGCACTGGCAATTAGTCGGAAGAGTTAATCATATGTAGTTGCTCGATTCTTGTTTTCTCCCCCTCATCGTCTCCTCATCTTCTTTCATCTTCAAAATAAAAACATAATCTTTATATAGCTGAGTCTGTGTGCTCCCAAAAGCAGCCAGACGGAAATTTTTCACAACTACCATTAATCGATCTTTAACAACTTCTTCACAATCGAGAATCATAATTTCATTGACTAAACAATTGTTTTCTCCTTATACTCACGACCACGACATGATTGACATGTCTGCTTAAAACAGCAGCAGCACCTCTAGTACATGTCCGCTTAGTAGGGGGTAGTGGCGTCGCGCTTTTCACCACGGATACGGACAGCTAGCTGCAAATCTTTCTTCATAATCGTCACTCGCTTAGCATGGAGAGCGCACCTTTGTTGTTGGAAAGCCAGAATAGAGAAACTCTGAATCTTTTATTGTCGAAGGCATATTATTATTGTGTGTGATGAAAGCATACTGGAAGTACGTGATACGTACCTACGCGTACCAAGAAAATAAAAAAAAATCACTTCAATCAAAAATCAAAATGAACAAACAGTAAAAAGTAGCTAGTACAAGTTCGTGTCTTCGAAGAGACCCACAATGTGAGCTTCTGCGGCTTCTTGGAGGGCGAGCAATGCCTGGGATTGGAAACGGAACTCGCTGGCGCGATCATCTCCCATCAACACTTCACGAACCAGACGCTGGAACGGCAACTTACGCAACAACAGATCAGTAGACTTTTGGTACCTTGGATTTGATTGTTTGGAACAGTGGCTTAGGGGAGTGGTTTGGCTGCGTAGGACGATAGGATAGGAGTTGTTGGAAGATTGATTGCCGATTTTTGTTGTAGGTGTTCTTGTTGCTAAGGTTACAATTTCGAGTCGAAGAACGAACCATCAAGTTCAAGACCAAGAAGAAGAAGATAGTCTTAGTAGTGTAGTAGTAGTACTTGAAAATCTCCCGGATGGCAGCTTGCCTAAATGATCAAAAAAAATAGTAGCAATGAATACTTCTTAATCTCCCGAATGGCAGCTTGACCTGGTTTTGCGTGGCGCTTCTTCACACCGAGGGACACGGCATGGTTTTCCTTCTGGGCTGGAGCCATCAGGCCAGTCGCGCTTACTTCGCCTCCAGCGGATGCGGAGCCATTAAAAGAAACAGCGGATTTCTGTGTTGTTGATTGAGGAAAGAATCTTTTATGTTGAGGGAACAATAAGAATGAATTTGAATGTCAACTCAACGATCAAAAATTAATAAACTGAATCACAATCTTGTCATCCTTGTCAAATAAATAGAAGCTCTAGTGCTAGAGGATTAAAAATAAACTAGTGATTACCTTTCCCGCCTCTTCGTGTTCCTTCTTTGCAACGGCCTTCTTGCTCTTCGGGGCAGCCCGATTACTGGTCTTAGTTCGCGCCATTTTCTTTTAGTCGGAAGAAAACGAAATGAATCGCTTAGACTTAGTTAGAGGAGGTGTACTTATAACGATAGCTCGAAATAAGCAAGAAAATGAGATTGAGGTGTTGACTTAAGTTTACCAATACCTAGGTACTAGCAAAAAGAAATTCGAATTCTTGAGTCGTTAGTGAGAAAACTCTGAAAGCCAGGAGGTGCTCTCAGAATGAGAGTCGCAGGTCCTGTGTGTTCGATTCATTATTTGAAGGCATCGTCAGTAACTCATGAATCTTTGAGCAGGAAAGCTCGACATCTTTTGCGCCCTTTAAAAAGTAGTACTTGAAGATTGCCAGAGCAAAGAGATTGATCTCAATTATAATGATGATGAATGGACTAGACGGAACTTGCATTTTTGGAGCTCACATTTCATTGGGATCGAGTTGTGCAAAATCACAATTGGTTGTTGATCACGAGATTGATTCACTGAGGGACTGATTTAAATCAATTTATTTTGGAAAAAAAGTTTCGGAAGATCTTGTTCTGTTCTTTCTCAGTCGTCTCAAATGAACTTGACGTGATTCAGGTCTTTGGAGTTTTTGAAACCACTGGAACATATTAGGCGCCGATAATTCAGGACCAACGTTAGTTATCACGATGTTAAAGATGTAAATTCGCTTTCGCAGATCCAGCACATCAGAAAGTAGCAAGCTACTTCAGGAACAACCTCACTCAGCACCACTATGAAGATCTATATTCTCAAGCTCAACCTTTTAATGTAAACATAGAAAACTGCCGTGATATGGATCGATCTTCTCTGTTGAAAAGAAATAGAAACTGGAACTAGCTGCATGATGTATATAAATGAAATTCTACATTGAAGCAAGAATCAACAGTCGTGAAAACAAGACGAACAGATAAGGCAAACCACTCATGAATTAACAGGTACAACTCGTCAAATTAGCTCGAGCTCGACTTCAAGAACGAGAAGAAGAACTAAACCTATATATAATTCTATTTTTACGGACCTTCATTTTCCAGCATATTAAGCTACTGGTAGCTGCAGAGCATTTCGCGGATGAGATGGCAGAGTGATTTTTTCTTCTTCTTTCTCTTCACACTAATTTTCTTCTGTCTCGCTTGAGGTCGCTCTTCGAAATTCGGTGAGGAGTCGCCCCTTCCGGTAATCTCCGAGTTAGAGCTACCGCGCCGCGTCCCTGAGTCCATCCCTGGGCCCTTTTTCCTCTTGAAAAAGAGGCCAAGGATGACGCTGAGGATGCTCCAGCGGTACCCTTAACCGAGATTTGTTTCTCGTCACTGTCTTCTGCTAGTGGTAGTGCTTCTTTTGTCTTGGACGAGAATGCTTGATGGTGGAACTTAGCAAAAATGGGTAGCCGTGAAGATATGGATATCGGGGTTGTAACAACCATCACTCTGGGTTTGGATGTACTGTATACTATGTATAATTACCAGAGTACTAGAAGTACTAACTCTTGCGTACAGTTTGCAAACTAGAGCAAGAGATTTTCTCGAAGATTAATTTCTCGTAGTCGTCACCACGAGTGCAATGCTAAAAGTTCTATCCGTTTTCATAATTTCCACCTTCTGTTCACCTTTGCCTTGGGCGACTCTCAGGTTATGTTTTTTCATTATTTTTGCAAGCTTTTCTCGTGACATCCTCGCAGCCATTGAGAATGCTATGATTATTAGATGAGAAGTCATAAAGAAAAGACGAGCGTCATCTCTGAAGAACTACAGTCTCAGTTTAGTTTCGAATGGCTTATAATCGATAAAATAAACTGAAATAAGCGAGTAACTACTTAGAGTAGCCACACTAAATTACGCAATGACTCGTCTTCTATTTCCTTTATTAACGCACAGAAAAGCCCCACCTTACGCCAGCAACCCAAGATGTATTTTTCTTGTAGGCGAACTCGAAAAAAATTTGATTTTTTGACACAGTATAGAAGATGAGGTGGATCCACACATTTCATATAAAGTTTAGCAACTACTCCCTTATTTTCACTTTTCGAGTACTTTTTGTATTCACATCTCGAGTCTTAACATCTTCCACACTCGAGTTTTGAATAATATACAAACATTCACATCTCGGGTCTTAACATCCACACTTTCGATCGGTCTTCGATTTTCGTCGGCAGTTTTGACTGCTCATTGTTGCCTACTCTGCCACCATTTTCCACATATTTTCTCCAAGCAGGCGCGTGAATAAGCCATTTTTCCGCAAGTTCTACTTTAGACCGCTCCCCTATTCATCTTCCCTGCGGAATCCCTCAAGCATATGCGTCAGTATCTTCTCCCTTGAATTGGGGCGCATATGCTTGAGGCATGTCTATAGAGATGGACTAGGGGGAGCCTTAACTAATCGCATCTTCTGCTCCACTAGTGCTATTCCAACTCGTTTTTCTATCTTTTGTAGTTGTTTTTGACATAGTTGCTCTACCTGGAGCTGGACGTGTTCCTGATGGTGGTGAGGAAAAGATGAACGACATGCGCAGGCGCTACTTCTTGATGTTGTTCCTGTTAGTACAGATGAAGAATTAGTAGGTGGATTTACTTTTACAGCTCCTCCATGACCATGATATGCAGAAACAGCTGAGTAGAGAACTCCACTCCCACAAAAACCCTGAAGAGCAGCTGATGCAGTCTGAAGTTTTGGTTTCTTTTCCTGTTCTTCTAGTATTGTCTGCAAGCTTGCTGTCACCTGGGAACGCAGGTCTGGACTCGCAGCTTCGAGTAGCGAAAACCCGTAGACTCTTCTTAGAGCTTAAGTAACCAAATTTATCTTCGAATGCACCTTTCTAGTATTTTCATTTCCCTTGAAAGCACGTTGAAGATGCCTTCTAAGATAAATTAAGGTAAGCCTTAATCTTCGAAGGATGGCATCGAAAGAGCGCGCTATCGACTGCTCTGCAAGTGTGCCATCCGAAACTTCTGGTAATTTGTCTGCAACGTCAGGTCCTAGAAAAATATCCAACATCTCTGAACGACTGAGACCGGCATGAACCTAGTATGAGGAAAATGAAAGACAAGCAGCTGTCGAAATGCTAAAAGGAGATCATAGTCGGATCATGGTAGAAGTTTCTTTGAACAAAATATACCTGTTTGGAGAAAGGGCATTCTCAAAGAATAATCTCAACTAGAGTGACTGTGCAGTCGCTTGATCTACAAACGGAATTAAATCACAACTGCTCATGATCACCTCCTCTTCTGCTTCCTCTTGCTGTTCAGGAGACTCAATATTGTCAGCCATGAATTGAAATAGATTTTTGCATGGTAGCCCTCGCGTCCTCGAAGCGCGATCGATCTCAGACCTACACTTCGAAGCCAACCGCGCAAAGACGTCAGGTCCAATTTCCAAACGTGATGCAACCTTAGTACGCGTCTTGCCTTCGGTGACAAGCAGTGTTCGGGAAAGTAGAACTTCTTGACTGGTTCTTACTAAATTGATGTCATTCATCATGTTGGGACTGGTTACTAAATTGTCATTGATGTTGGTTGTGGTAGTGCCGCAATACGAAACAGGTGAAGGGAATCGATTCTGTGGTGCTGGTGCCGCAGCTTGAACATTCCCTACAGGTGGAGGTTGTAGTAGATAGTTCGATTGATGTTGTGCTCCTGTTGACGAGGAAGCGAAATGAGGCACACCACCGACCAGAGACGCTGGAGAATAGTTGCCACCGGGCAACAGCAATCTACTTCGTATAAAAAGCGTTGCCGATCTCGGTGTTGATGAAGATGTTTCTTGTTCTACTAACAAGGAAGATCCCCCATTCATCTCTACGAGGACCTCTTTCAACTTCTCCTCTTCCTCCTTTTGTATCGTTGTCTTCGTTTCCTCGAACAAAGGTTGTAGTTTTTCTCGCCACCAGATCGCAGCACGGCGAAAGGCACTATAAGCAGCACCGAGTCTGGACATATCCGACACTGCTGCTTTCTCCGCACCACTGAGCAATTCAGTTCCTAGGTTAAGAACATCGAGAAACAATGACTCGTCTTCTTTATTCAACATCTTAATGGGTGTTGTACCAAGAACAGCATTACCGTTCTTACCACACGAATGAAAGTGGCTTCTTCCAGCCACAGGTAATATTTCTGCTCTAGTACACCTCGGACAGCGATGTGAGCTTTCGAAGTTTCGGCCAGTGTTACCCAACGACAGTCCTGATATACTCGTTCCACCTGGAGTATGGTGTACATCGTGAGAAAAGTCTGCAGTTGTCTTCGTTGATATCGCAGGCACGAGCCAAGGAAGAAGACACTCACGATGAGCAGTCGCGCCACAGTGAGGACAATGGAATTAGAGCTGCCACGTTGGCCGTGGCCCATCCCCCAGAGGTGGATCATCCTTGTTGGGGGCCTTAAGTAGAAAAGTAGAAATACAAGAGCCACAGCGATTACGAGGATGCTTATGCTTTACCAGCTCCAGCGGTCTACTAGCCTTAATGGAATAATAAAGATGCTGGTCGTCCTCGTGCTCCTCCTGCTCGCGCAAAATTGTGGTTCCTGTGCCTGTGGTGTTCTTCTTCTTGTTCGATCTTTTCGAGACAAAAAAGACACTCATCCTCCTCTTCCAGGTGTGTTTGGTCATGGTGTGTTTGGTCATCAACGACCTGTTGCAATCTTCTTGGTCGTTGACCAGATAGAAGTATTTGCACATCATCTACCGTCGCACTAGACGCCGCTGGCTGTACACTAGCTGGCTGTTGTACACTAGAAGCAAAAACTTGCTGTTGACGTGGTCCGACACTAGGTGGCTGTTGTACACTAGAATTAGAACTGATGGAGATCCATCCTCAGCAGCATCTTGGGTCTCCTTCTCCCTTTAGAAACGGGACCAAGATGACAGTGAGTGAAGATGGATTTCTTGTACCCTTAATAGAAGCAAAAACTTGCAGCTGTTGACGTGGTCCGCTGGCCGAAAAGTGATGTTGCGGCTGTAGTCGAGGTGTCAAGGGGGTTGCATGCTCCCTTGTTCCTGACAGCAGAAGTGGTGCCTGATCTTGCGATGGAGCCGGAGGGCAACTTCTACATCGAACGCCTCGAGGAGCTTGGACAACAGTAGACGCTTGATAAGAGTGCGGATAGGGAGGGCTGACTATGTGTTGATATCCGGGACATCCTTGATCGGGAGAAGAACTTCCGTGCAAATATGTCGCTGTTGTTGGAGATGCTTGAGAAGCAGTAGTTCTATGTGTGACTACTGGGTGTGCTGCAAAAATAACCGGTGGTGCTGAGGTGGAAGAACCGCTTCGATGAATTTGTGCAGTAGGAGTTCTTGGTGCTGTAGAAGTACTTGGGAGAGGGTTACTAGAATGACCAGAGGAGAGCTGGAGGCCAGCTGCAACGCTGACCGAAGACAAAACTGCAAAAATATGAACCTTCATCTTGCTCAGGAGAGCACCAGGACGTTGTTTAGGTAAGTAAATCCGCTACCCTAGAAGTGTGAAGATCATTCCCATGCTTGCATCTTGAAGCATCTTGAAGCTCGCCTTTGAAACATGGATGAAGCATAAGCCGAGTTCTCGGAGAGAGAAGGCACTTCGAAATAACTCGATATCCTGAAGATCGATGTACTGCATGTTGAACACTGTTCAGTACAGTGCAAATGACTGCTGCTCCGTGGTCTCGGGAACCGTCCGAGAGAGCTCTGCAAAACTACAGACGTTTCATTCTGAGAGTATTTTTCTTAATGGAAACAAGGACCGAAACATCGATCGAGATAGGATGGTGATGAAACGACAACATCAACGTGCACACAGGCGCGTAACAAAATTCATGAAACATCGAGTTTTTCTTCATGTTCATATTTCTTAAAGCTTTGATTGAATATCGATTGTTCGTTGTCTTCTAGCTTCATCGGTTAATAGAGGTCGTTTTTTCCGCCCATCAACTCCCAATGTGAGAATTTTCATCAGCTCTTCATTCCCTTTGATTTCTTGGAATATGGCTTCGCTCCGACGTCCGCTACTGATAAGCTCTTCACCTCCGGCAATAGAATCCCCAGAAAAGACCCAACAAGGAGAAGTAATGTTGTTCTTAGTGACCGCATTATTTCTCCTCTGTTGATCTTCCTTCACTTTGCCAGTGTTTTTCGCTAAGTAATAATCCCAAAGTGGACGAAAGGTCTGAGAATGGAAGAGTCGTAGGCGGTTGCGCACGACAGTAGGGTCATCGTCCGCTCGACGCGTCAATTTCTCGCCAGTCTCATCATCTAGTCCTTCTACGCGCGGAGGATTCCAGAACGGGTTGGGATTAGAGATGGAGGTAGTGATGACAATATAAATCCGAAGCAGGCTACGAGGCAGCTAGGCGAGGCGCCTGCGGCGGCGGGCAAGCAAGACTCAGGTAGGGACAAGTCGAAGGATCCCGAACGCCTCCTCCACACTCCCAGCCGCAGGTCTGGAGGCTGCCGTACGTTCGCGCGCAAACTCGCGGACACGACCTTGCCATCACCGCGAGCCTGCAGTGGCTCACGCATGTGGACGGGGCGTGTCGACGCGGGTCGTGCGCGAGGGATGCTAACAACGCCTGGTCCTTCTTTCTACGCGTGGAGGATTCCAGAACGGGTTGATACATCCTCCACGGTGTAGATGGCACTATGATGACAATATAAAGACACAGAAAGGCGCCTTCGTGACGAGTGCAACTATACAACGGAATACAATTAATCTCGCACAAAATTCAGTGCAGACTGCCTACAGGCGTCATAGCATTAATATTAATTTCTCATCGACGTATGATCCTGATTTTTACCGTTATGATCCACACCAAGTAGCCCATAATATAAGTCCGTCCGCTTGGTGCGTGTATAAGTCGCGAAGATATCCTTTCTACTATTTCGTCTTCTGGTACGTCAAGAAAGATCGCGCCAATCGGCTCTAACCCATCTCTATCCAAGAATTCCGCTTGTTCTGTCGTACGAGGATACCCGTCTAAAAGGGGCAACGTAGCCTGCTGCTCTGAATACTTCCACTCATTGAGAATGTCGATAGGGGAATGTCATTCCACCCCCTTTGCAATCTTACTACTTAGAGAACATTCCCGAATCTTCGTTCTCAATGAGTAGCATCATACATGTTCTTGTTTGGCAACATCGACGACATCCTGTTCGTTATTGTTCAGTCTGTCTAGCACTATCGAGTGCACCGTCTCAGCTGGCAGCAGTCCTCCATTACGCATTACATCCCTAGCAGCACTATTGCGGTCAGCGTCTAGTTCCAAAGCAGCCCTCAGGGCATCCCCAGCTGAAATGTAGGGTCCTATAATTAGAGCAGCCCACGATAAATCGATAGTTCATATCCTGGGCTCATCGATCTCTTCAACATGAAAGAACATCAAGCTGAATTTTTATCGTTACCTCCCGCCTTAAGATGATAGCTGGAAATTCTTTTCGAAGCATCTTCGCTATTGTCCCCTTGCCTCCTCCAGGTGGTCCGATTATTAAAGGCCAGCAGTCGTTGTCGTTGGTCACTGACTCTGAACGGGAAAGGCCCCACACCTCTCCACTTGTTTCCCCTTCCTTTTGTTCCCCTGTTCTAGTACTCTCAACAGGAGGTCGCCTCTTCGATCTCAGTCAGCACCCTCAATGACCAAGACCAATGAAAGCTGAGCCTTAAGATTAAGAGCAGGGGTCCTCCTGCTCGGTTGGGCACCTCCTTTTCCTTCATCGGCTGGAGCATGTTGGAGGCTGTGCTGATGCCAGTAGTAGTAGTAGTAGCATTAGAGGTCGCTTTTTGGTGTTCGTTTATCCCGCTTGTTACGGCTGTCCCCCATAGGACTAGGAGAGCCATAGCAAACGGTATAACAAAAGCACGTTTAACCTACCCTTAATATTAGTAGCAGTAGTAGTCGTCGCGAAAGGTCGGAAGGCTCCACCTCCGAGGTTCATCTTGAGACTGAGAGAAGTGCTGAGAGCAGGACAGCTACTTCTTAGAAGCCACTTCATCGTTCTCATGAACAAAGCTTCTGAAACTGAAGAAAGGTCAAGGAATAATGTGAATGGACTAGACGGTGACTAAAAACAAGGAGACCAGCTCACAAACTATTAGGTCAAGGAATAAGAAGAAAGATGAAAGGTGCTAGAAGATTGTAGGTATTGCATATCACGAAAGTCTTCATGCACGATAGTGGAGTAATTTTTTCAGAAGATCGCTCGATCTGGATGTAGTTTTCGTTTCCCAAGAAATAGACGAAGCAGCACACTGGTACTAGGCTTAGCGTCACAAAAATCGAAAAAAATACTCATATTTGGATCATTCTTGGAGGACTTTCTTCTTCTCGGAAGCAGCGTCAGATTTTCTTGGCACGGCTTCCAGGCACTGATGTTCGCAGGACCAACCTCAGGTGAACAACAAAAACCTTAAGGTCGTGTAAGAAGTGTACACGAGGAAGACTTCTTCGGCTCAGAAAGTTCCGCCAGTATTTTGTGGAGGTTTAAATAGGTGGACTCTTCATACAAAGAGGTGGACATTGACCTGCGATGTGACAATGAATATGCAGATTGAAAATCATCACGACAGCTGTTAGTCTTCGAAGAGTGTTACAAGATGAAGATACGCCTAGTATGAAGTCCTACAAAAACAAACCATCCATAAGACGACAAATAGACAGTAGCCATCTTAGTGCATGTAGTTGTACCTACAAGATAGTACGTGGTGTCGTGTAGGACAAATTTGGGGTCTTCAAAGAGCAGGAAGTGGAAGGGACGGGATAGGGTGACACACTTAGTCCGTCGCGTGCGGAAGGAACGAAGTAGGTATCAAAAAAGTAACTACTTTGTCACAGTAGTAGTGCTACACATCAGTTATCAAGTGTAAGTCTAACATTTAAGCTTCACTCATTCACTCATTCACTTTTTTACCTAGCAGGAGGCATCGTATGGGCTACGACTTAGTTAGGACGCATAGAAAAGAAAGAAAGAGCCGCAGGCACCTTTTTCTTCAAGATCGCAGCGCTTCCCAGCACTGGCCCAGATTACATCCGTCCCAGTAGTCCGCTGGGACGCTGGCGACGACCTGCTTGCGGGTCAGGTTCTAGAAGGCGCTGCTTGCGCGTTGCCGGTTGTCTCCGTTGAAACCTGCAACCACCGCGCAGCCTGAGGCTTTAGGTTGGTTCTTTCCCGCCTGAGCCTCGCCCCAGATGCCTGACGACGCGCACGCGCCAAACAGCAGCGCCAGCGCCTGCTGGTTTAGATGCTGCCCCGCCGTTATTTGCAAAAATGGAGGCCCATGAGGGTCCTTGCCGAAAGTTCCCGAAAGTTTCCGAAAGTTCAACTGGCAGACTTTCTCTCACTCGATAAAAGCGCCTCCCGTGAAGCGTCCTCAGATTCATACATACGCGGGCCCCCCGCTGGCGTAGTTAGTGGCGCCTGTAAGTTGTTCCCTCGGGGGGTCGCTGAGTTGCTTCGATCGATGCGCGCATGGATGCACGCATGCCATGGCGTGCATGCATGGACTCGCTCACAACGAACCAACGCGCTCAGTCGCTGCTAACTAACAGCGAGGCTCCGTTCGTTGGTTTAGTATACATAGGTAAGTATATAAGTGCTCCGCTATCTATTTATTTACAAAGTAACTAAGAAGCAACCAAGCCACTTTTTTAACTAACTTAGTCCGAGACAAACAGAGCAGCTCACTCAGCCGCCTCGCGCGCTGTTTATTGAGTCTCTGGCAGGTTGATACGCTCGCAGATACATGTCATAGGCGCCGAGGCTGGCACCTACTTACTTTCGTAGCGCACCTAGCTAGCAGCGGCAGCCAATGAATCTGCCTACCAGCCTACCTACCTAGGTAGTACTAGTAGGTTGGTAGGCACGCAGCTACCTAGCTAGGTAGGTGCGTGCCTACGTAGGTAGGTAGGTAGGTAGGTAGGTAGGCACGCGCGCCGTCTTTCGTTCAGTGCGTGACTCGTCACGCAGACACGTCGGCCATGCATTGACTCACAGGAACGAAGAGAGTGCGCGCCGGGTGATTGAGTGGGCCGACGGATGGACGCGCGCTCGCGCGCGTTGGTTGGTTCCTGCGTTCATACATGCACTGACTCACCCTCGCGCCCACCCACCCGGCCCGTCAGTCACGCACTCGCTCACCCTCTCGCCACTCAGTCAAGGAGTCTATCTCTTACGCGCCAGCCTATGACATAGAGACAGCGCATGGGTGTACGCATGTCGTAAGTATCTATGGCATCCATGTGAGTAGGTGCGCACATATTAGACGCATAGACCGACCGACTGACTGACAGGAAAAGAGAGAACGAAGGCAGACGCGTGCCGCTATCTAGGATATTGAATACGCGCCCACCTATGTACCCAATGCACGCGTGCGAGCGCCAGAGTGAGAGGGTGGGGCGAAGGCCGCGGCGCCGTTGCGTGTGTGGGGGAGTGCGTCAGACTGTCTGCCCCATTGTGGTGGGTGCGTACCTAGCTACTACCTAGCATCCGTGGGCGTATCTATCTATCAACGTTAAAGAACTATACAGAAGCACGCCCTTGCTATATCTAGAGAGGTCGGCGCTGGCTAATTGTGTACACTATAGGACGTGGCTACGTGCGCGCGTGAGTGCTTGGCTGGGTGCGTAGATGGTGCGTGTCTATGTGTGAGCCAGTGCGCGTGCCTACTGTAGGCCTCCACGAGCGTACGGCAGAGATAGAATGAGAGAGCGGGCGCGTCCTGCCCATGGATGCATGGGTCTGGATTTCTTAGAGTCCGCGCGAGTAAGGACCGACGTGCCCACTCATTCACCTGTAGGGCTGCAGCGTCGAGAGATCGAAGAAAAAGCCGGCGGCTCTCTGTTAGTTTCCGAAAGTGTTTTCACTTTCCTTTAGTTACCGAATATCGCCGATTATTTCCGTTCTTGTTTCTCCCGGTTCCTTCGCTCCGTTTGTTTCCGTTTATTTCCGTTTCCTCCGAAAGTTGCCGAAAGTTTCCGAAAGTTTCCGAAAGTTTCCGAAAGTTGCCGAAAGTTTCCGAAAATATTCCTCGACGATTAACGGAAAAAGGCGGAAACTTTCGGCAACTTTCGGAAACTTTCGGCAACTTTCGGAAACTTTCGGCAACTTTCGGAAACTTTCGGCAACTTTCGGAGGAAACGGAAATAAACGGAAATAAACGGAGCTAAGGAACCGGGAGAAACAAGAACGGAAATAATCGGCGATATTCGGCAAAAAACGGCGGAGCGGTTTTTGATTGACATATCTGCTGCATTTTTGTCAAATTGTGGAAGAAAGTTCTGCCGTCGCATCAATCTGCAGACTGACGGGCAACATTCTTCGACGGGGACTTTGAGAAAATTTGGAGGCTTGTGGTCTCTTAGTTACTGTCTGGGGCGTTGGTTCGTTCGTACATACATAGGCTGGCCCGTGGATTCATTCACACACCCACACGCACGTAGTTAGATACACTCACAGGCACACTCATTCACACACTGCCGCTGACTCCTACACACGCCGCCAGGGAGGTTGATAGGCCGGTGGGTAGACTGCCTGGTGGAAGGATGGGCGCGCGCCTACATTCATAGACACATAGATACACAAATAGCTACCTAGGCCGAGCAAGAGCGCGCTCCCACTGACTAACTGCCAGGAAGGCCGCTGGATACACAGCGCGAGCGGGTGCCAGGCAGGGAGACCGCAACGCAGACAGACGCGCGCTCTCTTACATAGAAAGATACACCCGCACAGAGACGCGCACTCACGTCGAAGTAACGGAAACTAGCCGCCCCCCTCCTTGCCTCACTTTCGTTCTTGCACTCTTTCGCACGCTCTTAGTTACTTAGATAGTTTGCTAGATACATAGTTCGACACCCTCGCGCGTAGATCAATCTGGCTAGCTATCCGGTAGATTCTAGGCCATGAATGTATTTACATTCATAGGTCCGACAGATTCATCAGGTACATAGCTACGCGCGGCACCTAGCTACCTAGACCGACCGGCGCGCGGGTCGTTCCATGGCTGGGCCCATCGGCGGGCCGCGTGCGCCAGGCAGTGGGTGGGTGGGTCGATGCATGGACCGAGGGGCGCGCAGGTGCGTGGGTTGCTTAGACTGATGCACTACAGAGACGCGCGCGGCCATGAGAGGGAGAACGAAGCGAACGAATGAAGCAAAGAAACAAGGCAACAGACTAAGACTGACAGAAACAAAAACGGAGGGAGACAGAGGTGAGCAAGGAAGAGAACGAAGGAGAAGAAGATAGAAGCGAGCAGGGAGGAGAATGAGAGAAAGAAAGTCAGACAGGGGCCACACATAGTGAGACACAAAGAAACAGAGACAGAGAGAGCGAGCGACGGGCGGAGGATGGATGGAAGGCATGCAGGGAGCTGGCTCCAGAGTGAGAGAGAACGGGAGACAGACTGACGGACAGACACAGACCAGACTGACTGGGGGGGCAGTCAGAGAGAGAGAGAGAGAGAGGAAGCAAGCAAGAAAGAAGCCAAGCCAGCGCGCCAGGCAGCGGGCTTGGCTGCCAGGTGTCTTTGTGTGTGTAGTAAGGAACGAAGGAAGGAGGAGGAACCAATGAAAGGAAGGGGGTGGCTGAGTGCAGAGGGAACAAGCTAAACAAGAAGGACGGGGCCCCAGCTCACTGCTTGAAGCAAAGCAACCAAGACCAAGGGAGACCAACAGACTGACGGACAGCCGCCGCCGTCGTCACGCTACTGGCTTTGCCTAATCTATCAGAGCAACATTTGCCAGATGAACTTTCGGAGACTTTCGGCAACTTTCGGCGATCCATTTCATGGGAGCTTCTCTCTGCAACGTTATGTTAGTTCAGGGCGCTGCCTTCGTCCACGTCGAAGACGGGGCAGAAGCCGCGCTTTTCCTTTTCCACATGTTTTAATAACGCGTCTAGCACGTGGCTAGCCTGCTTCGAGGCTTTTCCTCCGTTTGCGAAGAAGCAGCGCCTGGGCTGCTCCTGCGCCTCCGCGACTTTCGCCCCGACTGCCAAGACGGATGGCCAGGCCACCTTGACCCCCGTCCTCTTTTCCACGCCGTTGGCGCGCCGGTAGACGAGGGGTTTTTCTCCTTCGCTGGCCCTGGCCGGGCGGGCGCGTGTCATCATAGGAGCGCGCTTCGTCCTCTCCGCTGCTGTTCAAAGCCGTCACGATCGATGGATCGACTTCGCGGTCTTTTTTGCGAACGACTTAAACTAAGCTCGTCGGCGAAGTCAGCAGAGTCCTCGCCCTGCCTCCTTCTATCTTCTTTGTGGCGTCGCAGATCGCCTGGCGTTGCTTCTCCTCTTTTTCGAGGAGCTTTCGGCCCTCCTCCTCGCGCGCTCTGTTTGCGGACCGACGCCCGCGGTATGTTGGCCGTCCGAGCGTCCCAGTCGCCGAGCACCTCTTTGCTGGTAGGTGCGCTCGATCAGGTAGCGGGCGGCCGCCTCCTTTTTGGCGGTCTGCGCCGGGACTTCCGCCAGGTCCAGCTGCAGACGGACCTTCCTCCCAGATCTTGCGTTTTTCGGCGAGTTTCGCGCCAGCTCCAAGAGTCTCTTTGCTAGTCAGAGACTTAGAGGCCCACGGTTCCGCCGCCAGTCCTCCGCGGCACGTGCTGCCCAGCTACAGGCGGCACCAAATCAAGGCGCTGCCCGCTTCTGTCGGGGCTCCGTCTTCCACAATGCAGCGGGGGCCCTCCAGGTCTTTTTTTGACCGTGTCGACAAACTCCGCCTAATGAAGTTCGCCGACCATCTGCAAAGGCGCTGCAGTTCAGTCCTGGACGTTTGCGCAGGGAATGACCCTCCCGCCATACTCTGTCTTTTCTGGCTGCCAGCTGCTTCAGCAGCGCCTCCATGGGGTGGCCATTGCCATGGAGGCGCGAAACAGTGGCCCGCCGATCAGTTTCGGAAGGGCTCTGCCCTTTTCGTCGACGTCCTCGCCTCCTGCGCGGTTTCTTTCTGTGTGGGTCGCGAGGTCCTCGACAGTTTTCGGGGAGGTCATTTTGAGGCCGTTTTTTGAATTGAAAAGACCAGAGCGCGGGGGCGCTGCTAGTCGCTAGTTTTCTAGATAGCGACTCCAACGCAAAGAGACAGGAAATGATCCCTGGACTTTTTTGAGAGGAAAGGGCTGACCCTGCCCAAGCTAGATCTTCTCAGCGGGCCTGAGGTTAAGAAAAAGGAGCTGCCACAAGCGCCACCCCGGCGCAGAGATTTCTACCCCGCGCCGGGGTAGTTCCGGGCTCCCCCGCGCCCCCCACTGGGCGCCACGCGCCTGCCCATCGCACCGCCAGAGGGCGCGTTGGCCCCCCAGCGGCCTACGCGCGGGCGCTTTGGCCCGTGCGCCGGCACCCCGCCCGCGCCGTCCGATCTGCTCCGCTCCGCGTCCGCTCTGCGTGTGAACTCCGCCCCATGGGTGTAGAATTAGCGCGCTCATCCGACCGCGCCCGCGCCTCCCAATGAGGCGCGAACAGAGGCTCGCCTTTGCTGGGGTGCGCCAATGCATCCACCAACGGCGCCGCGCTGAAGTGCATTCTCCGCACAACGCAAGGCGGGGCTCGCGGCGCCCGTTGCCCCTAACCCTCTCCCCAGTCAGTCCCGCAGTCGGCAACTTTTTGCCGACTGTCGTCCAGGAACCTTCCACGGAGCGCGTCTTTTCTCTCGCCTAAGTTAACTCGCCAGCTAGTCCAATCACTTCCCCCGCAAGCTCCTCCACTGCATAAGTATCGACGTGATCCGCTCCTTCGGGTAGAAGTTTTTCGCTGCTGATATCTCGGCCAGGATAGTGCACCGCAGCCATGCCCTGCAAGATCTTCCCTGACCCTGCAGCATGACTGGGCGCGGCCCATCTTTCGGAAACTTTCTTGAAGCGAAGAAGCCCGCTCTGTCGCTGCTGTCGAGGCTCTACTACCAACTACTTGATAATCTTGAGTACTTCCGAGCACTTTTGCCTCCGCAAACACGAACCTCACGGGCCACTCTTCCTTTAAAAAATCCAAGAGATCAATAGCGCGGTCTTTGAATTCTACGGCAACACGCTGCCAATGATGCCAATAAGAGTTCTGCCAGTCGTTGTGTCACTGGCTGTACTTCACAGCAGAGAGCTGCCTGTCTAAAATGAAGCCCGCTGAGGTTGACTTATACCCGTCCCCACAGTCTACGGCTGCGCCGCCTGCGGCTTCGAGGAAGCACATCAAGCGCTCGCTCAAAAGCCTAACGCCCCACACGGCGACGCGTTGGCTCTCAAAGACAGACTGCTGCACTTTAGCTTGATAATTCTAGTTGGCTTCTTATTTGTTCCACCAAGGGCCTTAGCTCTTCTCTCTGATTTCTCCTGGGTTGTCTATGTATGTTCCAGGGCTCAGGGCTGGAGGCCCCCCCCCGATCTAACTTCTTGAGGGGGGGGCCTGCCAGCCCCGGCCCCTCTTTTCGAGTGGCTGCCGGGCAGGAAGGCCTCAAAGCGCCCACTTCTGACCCCTTCCCGCCTTGTTGCATGTACCCTACAGACCTGGCAAAGGGGGCAAAGGCACGGCCCCGCTGCCTTGTTGCCTGTACCCTACAGACCTGGCAAAGATGGCAAAGAAAGCTGGCGCCCTCTGGCGTATTGCGGTACCCGACAGAGCTGGCAGAGGAGGCAAGGCGGGACCCCGCTGCCTTGTTGCCTGTGCCCTACAGACCTGGCAAAGATGGCAAGGCTGGCGCCCTCTGGCGTGTTGCGGTACCCGACAGAGCTGGCAGAGGAGGCACGGCGGGACCCACCCCCTTGGCGTGCTGCATGTGGCCAACCATACAGACCGCGCAAAGGTGGCCAGGCTGGACCCCTCTGGCGTGGTCCACCACAGATCCATCCACAGGGGGGGGGCCTCCCTCCCTGGTACATATATGATTTGATATCTGCAGCAGCGCTGTCCACACTTTGTACTGTTGATCGAATGTCTTGGAGCTGAATCCTGCAGGATCTACCCACCAGCACTAAATCAGTCCTGAGTATTTCTACTTTCTCTACTAGCTCGTCACGGAAGGCACGCATTTCTAGAAGCAGACGCGCGAAGTGGCCACCTCGAGCGCGGCAACTAGAAATAATGCTAATATCACTACTATAGCGAGCTGCTTTCGCGGCACAAGTCCGAGTCCGTCTAGGTCTAGGTCTATGGTCAATCTTACCATCCTACACGGACGACGTCGTCCCGAGAGTCTGCAGTTAATGACAAATAATGCTAAAGGATGTCCCGAAACTAACCTTTATGGGTGGAGCACTTCCTTCCTTAGGGACGGAAGAGGTCCATAATCCCAGTCTTTCTAATTCAGTTCAGCCTTATCAGAGCGACAGCGCTGAAATAAACAGTACCTATTTCTCGACTACTTTTCGGCTTACAACACTGTATTACAGAAATAACCCTGCTTTTCGTCTAAGTAGAATGAACCGTGGTAATCGAATAGTATGGAATCATTAGCATTAGCATGAACACCGCCACGCGATAATTTAGTACTTGTTGTGATATACCGTTCTGGTTTTTGATCATGTAAAAATGTTAATGTTCTTGTTCATCGATGTAATATGAAGTGGTGGCCTTGTGCACTTGTTGTGTACCTCAAACGGACACATCAGACTCCACCAACACCACGAACTACGGTTTTCCAGTGCATTGATACTAAGTATAGTATTATCAACTAATATTACCCTCTCCACTGTTGCATTGAAAATACTACAACAGTATAATTTCTTGCTATGAACTTTTGTGATGCGCAAATACTTCCTTCATTTGAAGCGTTGTTTCTGCTTGTAGGCATATTGGAAAAAATAGGACACTGCTCAACGTGACGAAGAAAAAAAGTGTCAACGTTTAATATCAGACAATAGAAGTGGTCGTGTTCTTTAATACAACAAGTGTCTAGCAAAAATCTAGATCTAGTTCATGATTCAGATAAAAATGGCCTTAGACGGACACGTAATTGTACTGGCCTAAGAAGCAGGGACTCCTGCGCCCATCTTCTCCTAGCAGCATCCAGCACCCTCCCTTTGCTGCTTTCAGAAAGAGAAACGCACAACTCCATCTGCTTCCACATCTAAGAAGAATCGCGACTTTCTCCATCTGCCAAGAAGAGTCGCTACTTTCTTACACACGATTACTAGGGAAACGGCGGCCCTCCATCTGCTAGAAAGAATCGATGCTGACAGACCTGATCGATGGACCAGCGTCGATCCGGATCAAAGTGGATCATTTTTGGGATCAAATCCAACGCGTCCTCGCTAAATTTGTTAGAAGAGCCGAACCTAGTCCATCTTGAAAAGCATCCTGGGTGCCTTTTGTTTCCCCTTGAAGAAAAGCCGCTTCGGGATGCTTCGTGAGATGAATTAGGGTGCGCCGTAAATTTTCCTCTAAAACCCCAACCGTCCACTAGTCGACTCCAATTCGCATCAAAGCCGTTGCTTCCACCGTCTGCTAAGAAGGCAGTGACCTGGGAGTTGATGAGTTGGTCGCAACATTCTTCGTGTTTCACTCATTGTGAAGAAAGATGTTCTTTAAGGTTGAAGCTGAGGCTGGAACTGCTCGAAAACACAGACTGGCACATCATTCAGATGCTACTGCTGGGGGGGCTAATCCTCTAGAGGAAAAAACTAACCGGCTGCTTTATTTTAGTGCTTTGAGCGCCGCTGGACCTAAGCCCCAACCCTATGAAAAGGAAAAAGCCAGTCTAGATTTGCGGCACACCTCTGAGAAAGGGGAAAACTAATCTGAGCAAGATCCTGTTATAGGAGGAGGCTACTTAATTATTGTCAGATGGAATCTTTTGCTTTTAGCTGCTTAAGTATTATAAGTTGATAGTTCTAAAACATTGCAGAAAAAAATCTATAATATTAAGAGCAATAAAACTTTGCAAACACATCCCGTCGGAAACCTCAACCTCCAACACCCAAACCCAAAACCTCCAACACCCGAACCCAAAACCTCCGACACAAAAACAAACAAACCCATGAACCCATGAACCCATGAACCCATGAACCCATGAACCCATGAACCCATGAA